ATGGAGCAGCACTTGAAATATGTCTTTTATTTTGTGACCCAGAGACCAAAAATTGAAGAACATAGAATGCATAACAAAATTAGGTTGTGTATTTTAAAAATATACAGTGTAATTATTTGTATTCATATCACCAATGAAGTGAATAAAATGTAAGATATGTAAAATCAAGGCATTTGTAAAGTTAATTTAATTTTTATGTATAAGTAAAATAATACATAAGTATTATTTTTTTTGAGACAGAGTCTCACTCTGTCACCAGGCGCCAGGCTGGAGTGCAGTGGTGCGACTTCGGCTCACTGCAACCTCTGCCTCCCAGGTTCAAGTAATTCTCCTGCCTCAGCCTCCCGAGTAGCTGGGACTACAGGTATGCACCACCACGCCCAGCTAAATTTTTTGTATTTTTAGTAGAGACAGGGTTTCACCATTTTGGCCAGGATGGTCTCGATATCTTGACCTCATGATTCTCGGCTCCCAAAGTGCTGAGATTACAGGCATCAACCACTGCGCCCAGCCAATGCACAAGTATTTTTAAGCTGGAAATACATTCCAGAAATATAACTATTCCCCAACCCTTCTGTAGGTAATTGAAATGAAATTGAACTGTGGTAAATGTGTACATTAAATTATTCAATTATTGACTGATCTTGCCAACTTAGCTTAATATAATGTCTGTTCAGTCAGACTAGCTTCTAGAACAGTGAAAACTACAATCATGTTTATACTTGACATAGTCAATTTGTGTATTGTATGGTGTTGAGTCACACATGCTTTTGAAATCTCTGCAGCATCATTCTTTAGTTTGCCCAACTTTCTTGTGAAGAGTGAAGATCCATGCTGGCTAATTTTAATAAGCTTTCATTTAAAAAAAATGTATGATATACTAGTTTTCCTGCTATAAAGAATTTTGCCTTTCTCATGATCAGATTTGTTCAATGCCATCTCCTCCCTTTCATTTGTTTCTTTTGTGGAGAAATTACCCCTTTCAGGAGCAAAAAAGTTGATGAAAGAAAACACTCTCAAAGTCAAGTTTGCTTTAGGCTCCATACCTGAAAAGGGTGGGCTTAAGAGGCTGGGAGGAGAAAGAAGAGGGACACTAACAACCTAAACAGCACAAGACTGGAACTTGAAATTCAAAAGATATACACCTATCTATGTATTTCTGATGTATGTGTCATAACTTCAACCAAAGTTCATGATCCATAGAATTTTGCATAAATAAATATAATTGGGTAGTTTTGACTCTCCTTGAAAATAAATTTTGTCAACCATCTTCTCATTAAAATATTTTAAAACTAAACACACAATTGTATATATCTCCACAAAATGCCATTAGGTTTTCTAACAGAGCATCAACCTAATTAGATTATAAACTCATCTTTTTTATGTATGTGTTTACATATTATATAGATGCTTTTATTCTACAGGCAGCAAGATATAGTGAAAAGAATATGAGGTTCTGGAATTAGAAGAACTAGGCATGAGTCCCAGACTGCACTACCTGTTATGTGACCTTGGGTAAGTCGCTTAATCTGTCTGAAGCTTGTTTGTCTTGCCTGTCAAATGAAAAATAAATGACAGCAATAGTTCAGATTTGGTGTGTGGATCATATAAATAATATATGTGAACGTGCTTAGAAAATTGTGAAGTGTCATACAAAGGATGGTTATTTTATTTTGGATTAACTAAAATTTTATTCTAAATTGGTGCATCTTTAAATAAAAGAAATAACTGCTAATGACTATAGGAGCCGTAATTTTATCTAGAAAATGTTTTTAAACTTTGAATTACCAAACTTTCAATGAGTTTAGAATTTTTTTTTAACAAAAAGAATCATTATATACTTCAAGTAATTCAATTACGGAAAAATATAAGCCTCTGTCTGCATCCATTTTGCGTTGCTATAACAGAATATCTGAGACTGGATAATTTATAAGGGAAAGACGTTTATTAAGGTCACAGTTCTGCAGGCTGGGAAGCTCAAGGGCATGGTCCTGGCTTCTGGTGAGGGCATTTGTGCTATGTGGTAACATTGTGGAAAAGGTCAAAGGGAAGGTGGACATGTATGAAGAAACAAAATCTGAGAGGCATCTTGGCTTTACAAAAATGCACTCTCAGCTGGGCGTGGAGGCTCACACCTGTAATCCTAGCACTTTGGGAGGCCAAGGCAGGTGGATCATGAGGTCAAGAGATCAAAACCATCCTGGCCAACATGGTGACACCCCATTTCTACTAAAAATACAAAAAAATTAGCTTGGTGTGGTGGTGGGTGCCTATAATCCCAGCTACTTGGGGGCAGAGGGCGGACAGGGGATGCTGAGGCAGGAGAATTGTTTGAACCCAGTACCTCAAAAATGACACCAAGTCATTGAGGAAGGATCTGCCCCGCTGACAAACAACTCCTCCTGGGCCCCACTTCCCAGTATCACCACAATGGGGATCAAACTTCAACCTGCTCTTTGGTGGGGATAAACTCAAACCTCCTTTAAGAGAAGCTCCTTTAAGCTATGGACTAATAAGTGAGAAAAATGTCTAGGTCAGGGCACATGCAGGCAGGGATAACTTACCCACTAGATATAGCAGGCACAGGCCAAGGATCCACTATACCTTTAAATGTCCATAGAAATGTTTTAATTTCTTTTGAAATAGGAAGAAAAAGTGAACTTTTAGGTCAGAGTCAATGTTTTAATATATAATATTAATATATTCATTCTTATACCAATGAGTCATAAAATATAACTTTTAATATTTTCTGTAGCTCTGGGTGACCCAAGATGAATCCTCTGAGAAGCTCAGTTACCTGCAGTCCAAGGCATTGTTCCAACAGCAGTGGTGTTGCCAGGGATCACAGATGTGGAGTGATTAGTTCTATCTTGAGAAATAGGGAAGACTTTGCAGAGCTGATATTTAAATCAGAGTTTTAAGGATAAGTATGCTTTCTACTGGTGGAAATATTAGACAGGGCATTTCAGGGAGAAAAAGCAGCATAAAGTAAGGGATGGGGATGTGTGGGAGAGAGAGCCTTGAAACTTAGCAGTGATCAGTAACCAACAATAGCCTCTCCACTATAAAGCCATGGAGGAAAGTCCATTACTTACATTGTCAAATCTTGCTAAGTTTTCTCCATTAATCTTGCATTAAACCATTTTAAAACAATACCTCAAAATTACATGAACATCTGCAGAAACACCTAATGAATAAGTAGTGGGTTGTTCAAACAGCTAATGAGATTAGATTGGATTAATAGAAATGTGTCAAGAACAACGCAAAGTATTTGATGTATTAGTTATTCTCTGGTTGCAAGCAACAGAAACTGACTCTAGATAATTCAGACAGAAAAGAAAGAAAGAGACAGAAAGAAGAAAGGAAGCTGGCCCTGCTAACACGTGATATTGTTTTCAAGGTCAGAAGTGGTTTTCTTGTTTTTGCACAACTGAATCATCAAGAATCTCCACCTAGAGGTTCTATTTTGTTCTGAAAGCCACTGGGCCAATTCCATAATTTGTTAGGTCCTCTAAGTCAGTACTCAGATTATTCAGTACCAAATATGCAAGCTGATCCGTGTTCCATATTCTTAGTAACCCTTGTGGCTTGCTATAAGACTAATATGAATTTTGTGGTTAAATTCTAGAAACTGTACTTTAGCCTGTTCCTAAACCAAGTCCTCACATTGTAGCCTAGTTCTATGGTCCTCTTTCCTTTTATCTATTTTTCTCTGCTCCTCAAGAACCATGTCTCTGTTCCTTGTCTCCAAGGACCTGTGAGCAGGGCTGGTATTTATGCCCTACATTGTGCATTGGACTGGTTATTTACACGGATATCTGTTCTGATTTATTGAGGCATCTTTTTAGTGGACCATGGCATCTGTTCTGACTAGTTGGTGCCTCTATATACCAGTGGTTAGATATTTCTCCAATAAATGAAGATTCTTTTTGTGGTAAAATATTAGCTTTAGCCCCTCTTAGGATGAGGCTAGAATTATTTTTCCACTAGAAAAATATTATTTTCAGAGATGGATTCTATTTTTGTCATTTAAAGGACCAGTCGTAAATGACTCTAATAAGAACTGTTGACTGATTAGACTTTCAATATGCATAACAAATATGACAGAGGCCAGATTTTAGGGACCAAAGAACACACTGGCCACATGTTGTGCCTGCAAGGAAATCACTCTTCAGGAAGCACTTCTCCTGGATTTAGAACCATTCAGTTTTATATTTTTTGTTTTTCAAATTATGGAAGTTTTCTTATTAATATTTTGAAATTTAGGTGACTAATTCGATTTAAAAATATACTTAAGAGTATCACAATACCTTTGAAAGGTAATTGAATAGAACCTCAGAAAAATTTAACTATTTTCTCAAATATCCATCCATTCATCCATCCTTCCATCCATCATCTTGTTGAATTTATCCATCTACCAGGGACTGTGCTTCCAAATAGTAAGACTCCCGAGAAGCTCACAGACTAGTACAGAAATGGACATACAGGCAAACAGTTTCAACACCATTGTGAAGATAAGTTCACATGTGGATGAACTCACATAAGTTCCACAGTGGTCTAACAAAAACAGTCTTAGACACTGAGAACTGTAAATCTGGATCTGAATTCTGGATCTCCTCTTATTAAAGCTACAAGTTTGAGTGAGTTATTTAACATCTCTATTTCACAGTCTCCTACTATGCAAGTTGTAGGGGCAAAGGGAAAACTTCCATTTTACTCACTGAAGGTTCACTGCGAATCACTGACAAATACAGATTAATGGGAGAAAAAACATACAAATTTATTTGATCAGAGTTTGGATATGATACAAGAGCCTTCAGAATGAAGACCCAGAGATACAGGAGAAACTGTTCATTTTTATTCTTAGGTTCAACATATTATGGAAACAGGATTGGACAAAAAGGGTATATTCTTCTGCTAATGGGCTGAGTGGGGAAACTTAGAATCTGTTCAGATTCTTCTTGGCGTCCCTGGGCAGCATCCTTTCCTTGTGGATATGAGGCAGGCTACTCTCTGGAATGCAGGTTTTATGACCTACAATCAAACAATGTAGGTCAGATAATTTTTTGATGACCAATTTTTACACAGAAAGGTGCAAGGAAAGTTAGAGTGAGACTTTTAGGTTTCTTGACTATTTAGAGGAAACAGGTTCTGATTTCTATGATCTGTCTTGGGGAAGAGGGATTCTAGCTTCTGTGGCTTGCCTTGGGGAAGAATGAGGAACCGGAAACAGAAGGTTAGAGAAAATAAGAGTGAGCTGCTTCTGAGGCCTTCATTTTGGGTTATCATTTTCTGAGCCTCAATAGTGTATGATGTCACTTGCCTGACCATAACATATGCCCATTATTTTAGCTACCTTCTGTCTGTCTCCCCACTTCCCTTTCATTTATTTCTGGGGTTTGGTTTCCTTATCTCAAAAAAGAGTTTAATTTGATTTCTGGGTTAGGAATCTAAAGGTCTATGTTTTAGAAACAATTCCCCTAAGCTTGAAAGACATTCATTCTTTACTTATGGTCGAATATGCAATATTCTGTAAATACAGTAAATCATAATTTAATAACATTGATTGGTGTCTGTAACACACCAAACTTTCACCTTAAGGACTTGGTGCATCTTGTTCCCTTGCTTGCAGATTTCCTTCCCCTTTGCTTACCTGGCTGGCTCCTTCTTATCCTCCAGGTTTCAGTCTAGAAGTCACTTCCTGATAGCTCGGATGTTTGTACTACCAAACCTTATGTTGAAATTTGATCCCTGATGTTGGAAGTGGGGCCTAATGTGTTTTGGTCATGGGGATGAATCCCTCTTGAATGACTTGGTGACATTCTTGTGGTAATGAGTGTGTTCTTGTTCTGTTAGTTCCAGTGGGAGCTGATTGTGGGAGCTGATTGTTGAGAAGAGCCTGGCCCCTCCCTACATAGTCTCTTGCTTTTCCTTTCACCATGTGATCTCTGTACACACCAGCTCCCCTTCACCACCTGCCATGAGTGGACACAGCCTGAGGCTTTCACCAGATGCCCACTCTTCTAACTGGCAGAATTGGGAGCCAACTAAACCTATATTCTTTACAGATTACCCAGTCTTCTGTATTCCTTTATAGCAACACAAACAGACTAAGAAACTTCACCAAGGATGCTTTCCACAGATAATTTGCAAAGGGCTAATCTGTGAATTTTCTTGGGTCTCTACACTCAGCCTGTCAAAATAGCCACCATACATAGCCATCCGCCACTTACATATAAATAGCCAGCATTTAAGATCTGTAATATTCTAATGCATTTCCCTTTAAAAAAGGTGGTGATAATGACTCCTCCAACCATAGACGCTTATGGGTTTCAGTTTATGGTTTACTGAAGAGAAAGGGGACCTAGCTATATTTCGTTTTTTATATTATATTTTAAGTTCTGGGGTACATGTGCAGCTCGTGCAGAATTGTTACACAGGTATACACATGCCATGGTGGTTTGCTGCCTCCATCCCCCATCATCTACATTAGGTATTTCTCTTAATGTTATACCTCCCTAATGCCCCCACCCCCTGCTATCGCTCCCCTAGCCCCCTCCACCCTCCAACAGGCCCTGATGTATGATATTCCCTTCCCTGTGTCCATGTGTTCTCATTGCTCAGCACCTACTTATGAGTGAGAACATGCGGTGTTTGGTTTTCTGTTTTTGTGTCAGTTTGCTGAGAATGGTGGTCTCCAGCTTTATCCATGTCCCTGCAAAGGACGTGAACTCATCCTTTTTTACGGCTGTATAGTAGTCCATGGTGTTTATGTGTTACATTTTCTTTATCCAGTCTATCATTGATGGACATTTGGGTTGGCTCCAATTCTTTGCTATTATAAACAGTGATGTAGTGAACATATGTGTGCATGTGTCTTTATAATATAATGATTTATAGTCCTTTGTGTATATACCCAGTAATGGGATTGCTGGGTCAAATGGCATTTCTATTTCTAGATCCTTGAGGAATTGCCACAATGTCTTCCACAATGGTTGAACTAATTTACACTCCCACTGTTGGTGGGGGTGTAAATTAGTTCATTTTTTGTTGGGCTGTTTGTTTGTTTTTTCTTGTAAATTTGTTAAGTTCTTTGTAGATAATGGGTATTAGTCCTTTGTCAGATGGGTAGATTACAACATTTTTTTCCTATTCTGCTGGTTGCCAATTCACTATAATGATAGTTTCTTTTGCTGTGCAGAAGCTTTAAGTTTAATTAGATCTTATTTGTCTATTTTGGCTTTTGTTGCCATTGCTTTTGGTGTTTTAGTCATGAAGTCCTTGCCTATGCTTATGTCCTGAATGGTATTGCCTAGGTTTTCTTCTAGTGTTTTTATGGTGTTTTGTCTTATGTTTAAATATTTAATCCATCTGGAATTAATTTTTATATAAGGTGTCAAGAAGGGGTCCAGTTTCAGCTTTCTGCACATGGCTACACAGTTTTCCCAACACCATTTATTAAATAGGGAATCCTTTCCCCATTGCCTGTTCATGTCATGTTTGTCAAAGATCAGATGGGTGAAGATGTCTGACGTTTTTCCAGGGCCTCTGTTCTGTTCCATTGGTCTACATCTCTGTTTTGGTACCAGTACCATGCTGTTTTGATTACAGTAGCTTTGTAGAATAGTTTGAAGCCAGGTAGTGTGATGCCTCCAGCTTTGTTTTTTTTTTTTTTTTTTGGCTTAGGAGTGTCTTTGCTATATTTCAAAATCTAAATGCAAAATGCAGATACAAATTATTAATGACTAACATGTATAAGTCATTTACTACATGCCTGGCACTATGCTAAGCATTATTTTACTTATTCTTTATATCAAGTTTAAGAAACAAGTTTATGTGTAACATAGATTTATAAATGAAGAAACAGTGGCTTACAGAGTTTAAATTATTTAAACAGAAATAGTACTTTGTTTTCTAAATATGAAGATCATCAAAATAAAACAAAACAAGGCAAAAATCCACCAAAAATTCAAAACAACTGAAACATTATAGGTTTAAGAACAGATTTACAGAGAGAGAAGGAAACATGACCTTATATATGCACATTGTAAGACTGACCCTGATGTCAGAGGCATTAGAATTGAAGGACAGCAGAGGTCGGTTTAAACTAAAGACTGTCTGACTTCAGAACCAATATTTGTAAAATATTACTCTGTACTTTGCAGATTCAGAAAATTAGCCCTAAATTTAAGGATAGTTGAGAGGCTGTGAGAGGCTTTACCTCAGAAGGTAAAGAAAATTTTTTTGAGAACTTTGACAATTGAAAATAAATGAAGGGAGAATATAAATGCAAAAACAAACAATGACAAACCCCAAACAACCTAAAGCCACGAAATTTAAACTTACCAGCAAGAAAAGATTTGCAATTTAAAAAAAGAGGCAGAAAATAGAGAATATATATTAATGTATATCACTTTTTAATGATTTATTGCATTTAATCATCATAAGAATTTCGTAAGGTAAATGTATTATAACTCAGAGCTAACAGATGAGAAATGGAGGCACAGAACCTTCCCTAGGCCATATATTAATAAAAGGTAGAGTTTGTATTAGACCTAGGGAAACTAATTCTAGCATCTGCAAATTGTGAAATTGGTAGGAAATTCTATTATTTCCCAGATCCCAGGGATGCAACAATGTTTTCTAAATAATTAAATAAAATTCATCAAGAGAAATGTTCACTGTTGGTGCAGGTTTTTAACATGGGAGAATCTGGTCTGTTGTGAAAACGAGATCTCTCCAGATTCCTTATTTTCTACCAGATCTTAATTTTTCCAGCTTTAGTTTTGATAGTCCCAGTAATTTTAGGAACAGAACCCCACAAAGGGCTAAAGGTAATTGCATCTGGTTACAGGGTCCCTGGTTCTTCGACCAAAATCTCTTTGTGGTCAGGTGCTATGTTTTGTTTCTGATTGTGTCAGTGTTTGGCATAGCCAAAGGACTCTATAAATAATTGCTGAATGAATGAAACATGTAAGAAATTAAGCATAAGAAATTTTACATTTAAACAAAGAAAATGCATGTCATGAAGAATGTGATATTTTTATCAGGCCACAGCCAGTCTCTATAGGACTTTAAAAAAGTGCTCCGTCTGCCTGGATAAATTAGAAGAAGACACACCCTGGTCAGATGTACTCTTTCTGACTTGGCTTAACCTACACTAGAGACCCATAGAGTCCAGCTAGGCAACTAGAACTTACAATTCCAACCTCATTTGCCCCTTTCGTCAGGCATGTACAAAATATATAACTTTGATTTTTTTTTGTAGGGTGAGGGCAAATGTCCTCATCTTTCTTAATCAAGACAGTACCAGTTCTGCCCAGCTTAAAAAGATATAAAATGTTTGCATTCTATTGATTTATAACTTATTCAACATCCATGCTAGTCTTTATTTTTCAAGGAGAGTACATTAGGTAGATTAGTTCCTTTCTTCTTTATATAGTAAGCTATAAATAACTTTTATAGGATTTTTTTAAATTTCAAAAACCAAAAAAAAAAAAAAAAAAAAATTTGAGCCCTGAACCTGTACATTTTAGTTTCTGGAACATTCTGTAAATTTTTCTACTGGCTTTCTTGTGTCATACTTCTCAGTTTGTGTTACGTGAGCCACTAGAAAAAGCAGGAGGCAGAGGTTGCAGTGAGCAGAAATCACACCATTGCACTCCAGCCTGGGTGGCAAGAGCAAGACTCAGTCTTAAAAAAAATAAAAAATAAAATAAAAAAGAGAAATGACAATTACTTAAACTCGAGGTTTAAAGAAATGTGACTTTCCTTTCTCTTTCAGATCCTTGCAGGAATGTGTACACATGCACACACACACACATACACAAACACAAACATATATGCATACACATACAAACACACACACATGCATACATACATATATTGCTTTTCTGTGCTAAGTGGGAATTTAGGGGCAACCTGATTCATATCAAGAGGCGAAGGAATTCTGTTGGACTTAGTGACTCTCTGAACAGCTCTGACTAACTGCAAATGATTATCATCAAAATAAGTTCCCAGGAAGTTTATTAAATCTTAAAACTCCATTACATGTCACTTAGACACACACACACACTCCAAAAATTTAGGAATTAAATCAGCATACCTTTCTTAAAACAGAAGCCCAATTAGAAACCTTTTTGCCTCTATCGTAGCTCTGCTACAGCATGCCTTTTAGGAGTGATAGAGTGACATTTTTATTTATTTTTAATCAGGACCACAGAACCATTAAAAAAAAAAATTTAGTCATTTTGGGGGAAGGAGAATGTTTCAAGTCAGTTTACAAATCCTCAGATTAGAACATTGGCTTCTTGTCCTCAAATGCATTTAAAAATATGGTCTTTGCAATGGATCTCAGTATCTGCTGTTGTTCCCTGTAGGCCTAAAGTTTCTCACTCATTAACCTGGAGCAACAAAATGGAAAGAATTCTGATTTCAAAGCAGAGAACCTATCGCTTTGCTGGCTCTGAGGATGATTGACTCTGTTGTGTGGGCGAGGTCTGTGCAGAAGCCGGCTCTGCTCTCTCCACTGGTAAACGTGGGTGGGAGCAGGGGAAACGCCGACAGGGGAACCCTTGTATTAGTGAGAAACAGCAGAGTGTTAGGAAGAAAAGTGAATCCTATTCAGAATTGCAAATGCCCACCAATATTGGTTGTCCCCTGCTTTATTAGACATTTCCATTTGTAGGTTTCATACCTTTAAAGGATATGATTTCCTGATGTCATGGCACTTTATTTTCTGGTTTACTTGGCTTTGTGGTTAAGCAGGTGGAAACAGTAAATTGGGCAGGTGAGCAGCCAGGAGGTCTGAAACATAAAGGGTTTGGATCATCTAGAGAACAGGACTGAGTGGAATTTAATGGGCAAGTAAACTCAATAAATATTTATAGAGTTCTCCATTTTAAATACACAAAATATTGATTGGCCATTATTAATACCCATTTTTAGAATGAAGCAATATTCCTGTTCTCTCTCCCTCTTTTTCTTCCTCTTTCTTCCTCTCCTTCTCTCCTTTTTTTACTTTTCAACATCCTAGTTCCTCACCTCTACTCAATACATTTCTCTGAACACCTGATTCCTGTGACTCTCCCGTCCCACTGAAACCTCCAATCCATTAAAAAAAAAAAAAAAAATTGAGATTTTTTTTCAAATATCCTAGTGGCCACTTGAAGCCACCCACAAATCAGAGACACAATGGGAGAATCTTATTAAATTTTATAGCAAGTCAGAAATCACAGAATGATAATTTTTAAAAGGAAAGTACTAGAGGCCTTCATGCAAAGTCCTACATTTTCCCCTGTAAAAAAAAAAAAAAAAAAAAAAAAAAGAAGGAATTTAATGGGCAAGGATTTCGGAGATGGGACTTTGAATCCCAGCTTTGCGTTTTCCTGTATGAGTTTGAGCAAGTCCTTTAACCTTCGAAAGGCTTTGTTTTCTCCATTTGCAATAGCCCCTATTTTAAATGCTTGTTATAAAGATTAAGTTAGATAATGCATAAAAATCAATTAGCACCAGTGCCGAGCAAATTTCTGTTGTTAAGATGTGGTCCTGTAGATTTTTTTTTTGGTCTGAAATTCTCTTCTCATAGGGTTTAGGAATAGCTGGAATGAATACAACTTTGGAGACCTGAATTTGGACAAAGCAGAATATATTGCCAGGGATATCTCCCAAGTCAGCCTTAACATACCCTAAATTGTTTCCAATAAATTTATCACTTAGCTAGAGGTGTACTATGAATAGTAATAATGGTGACTACAGAAATAAAAATATTTATTATTTCCATTCATTCAATGCAGACAATTTGCTGGGTGCTTTATATACATACTTTTAAAATACTTGTAACAATGGCACATTTTAAGTCTCGTTATTCACATTCAATAGATAAAGCAGAGGCAAGAGATTAAGGAACATCTTTGAGGCTGCACCACTAGGAAACAGAGGATCTGTGATTCAAAATCAGGTTTGCTTTATTCCAGAGCCTTTATTTTTTCTATTATACCCTGCCATATGCTCAGATGGGCTAGGAAATTTGTCCTAGGAGTAAGTGCAGTATCAACAGGTTCTTTTGTCTTTTTAGTGAATTCCAAATATTTTGCTGCTAATTTCACCACTTCTGAGGGAATTCTTCAAACTCTTCTTTGCTGGAATTCAGAATCCCTTTTGTTGATTAAATTATTTCCATTAACGTGGTTTTGAATTCAATCTAACAGCAACAAGGCACTGTCTTAACAAAGGATGTGCTGTTGTTGGGGCTTTTTCTGAAATGGGGTTCTTTAATCACTTTTCAGTTAGGTGAATTTGGAGAATAGAATTATTAACATCAGTCCAGTCCATGCAGGGAAAAAGTCCTATTCTGGGAAATGATCTTCTTCTATGAATCTTATGAGAGTTTAAAAAACAGATTCTAGAAAAAGAATCAATTATAATGTTAGAAGAATTGATCACAGCCTTAGGAGGACAGATCAAAGATGAAAATGACATGAACAATGAGGAAGAAGACCCCTAACAATAAAGTTAGAGGTACCAGGAGAAATCACTGCAGAGGATTTAGTAGGGGAAGCAAAGAAGGAAATGATCAGATCCATTGTTGAGAATTCAAGAAGTCCTTTGAAGAACAAAAATATGATGCAAATAATGGAGTAGAGAAATGGAGTACACAGTGCAGTTAGAGTTTATGTAACAAAGGAAAGTGTCAGACAACCTGGAGATAGATCATTAGCAATTATTCAAGAGGGACACAAAACAGAAAATAATCAAAATAGTAGACCTATTGTATGATATTTTCTTACACCATCCAATTCTCCAAGTCTCCCATGCTAATCAGACACAATTCAATTCTGACGCTATCTATCCAGAATTAGCATCAGATCCCATAAGTTAAAGGGCTCAGTCCCACAAAACTGCCCTCATTTCTGTTACCAACTGTAAATGGAGTCTCCAGGATACCCACACTTCTTCCTGGTCAACTACAAATTAAAGCATTTCCATGACCCTCTACTCAGGTTTGATAGACCCTTTTCTGAGTTCTGGAATGACTCACAGAACTCAGAAAAGCATTTTCCTGATGATTACTGATTTATTATAGAGAATACAGCTCAGGACCATTCAAATGGAAAAGGTGCCTAGGACAAGGTATAGCAGGTGGGTGGTGATGGTGAAGCAAAACTACTCTGCCAGTACACTGATGTGCTTGCCAGCTGGAAGCTATGTGAACTCTCTTGTTTAGGGATTTTTATCAGTTTCATTGCATAGGCGTGATTGATTAAATCATTGGTATTAGTAATCAAACTCCCTTTCCAACCCCTCTCCACTCCCTTGAGGTTGAAATTTTTGGCCTTCTAACCAAGGAGGTATTTTTTTTTAAGTGACCAGCCCCCAACCTGAAGCTCCCTCTTCTCCTTCAGTCATCTTATTAACATACAAAAAACATTTGTCACTCAGAAAATTTCAAGAGTTTTAGGACCTCTTTGCCAGGAACCAGAGAAAAAGATCAAATATATATATATATATATTTATTTATTTATTGTACCACACCTATATCCAACCATATCAACAATTAAGTTAAATTTTTTAAAGTGTAGCCTGCCACTGCCAGATGTGGCAGTTTGAATTAAATGTAAACATAGTAACTAAAACAGCAATTCTTTAGTCACATTAAACTCGTTTCAAGTACTCAACAGCCACATGTGGACAGTGGTATAGTATTAGATATTGCAGATATAGAAGATTTTATCACAGAAAGTTGTACTGAACAATGTTAGAAACAAAATGTCAAAACAGATCTTAAAAAACAAGATTGTATTGCTTTGTAAAAAGCAATTATGTATTGTATACAAGAGATACACTTTAACTACAAAGATCTAGAAATATGTATCATACAAGCAGCATAAGAATGCTGAAACGACTATATTAATGTCAGATAAAACGGACTTCAAGGCAGAGTATAATTGGAGATAAATAGGAATATTTCATAATGATAAAAGAATCAATTCAACAGGAAGTCATAATAATTATAAATGTTCATACATCTAATATCAGAGCCTCCAAGTACATGAAGCAAAACTGAGAGAATTAAAGGTAAACACAAGCAATTCCACAATCATATTTGGAGATTTTGACACCACTCTCTCAGTAATCCATACAGCAAGTAGATAAAGAAATCAGTGAGAACATATATTATGTGAGCAACACTATCAATCGTAATAGCATAACTGGTACTTACAGAACACTATACCCAACAACTGAAAAATATATATGCTTTAAAAATGTACGCAGTAGTTTTTATTATGCTAGGCTATAATATGAGCCTCAGTTGATTTGAAAGGATTACGATCATACAGAGTGTCTTTTCTAACAGAATTAAATTAGGAATCAGTAACAACGACATATCTAAAACTCCTAATTTTAGAAATTAAATGAGAATTCTAAATCATCCATGGATCAAAGGAGTAACAGGGAAATTAAAAAAATTTTTCACATTGAATGATAATTTTAAAAAATATCAAAATTTGTGGGATGCTGTAGAGGGCAGTACTTAACAGGGCAACTTAAACCTTTAAATGCTTATATGAGGCAAAAAAGTGAGGTCTACAGTCAATGATCTATGGTTCCATTTTCAAAAGCTGGAAAATGAAAAGTGAAGTGAAAATACTTGGATGAAAGGAAATAAAGCCAAGAGCACAAACCAATAAAATTAACGAAAAATAATAGGGAAATTCAGCAAAGCTAAGGGTCAGGAAAGAAGCTGAGAGGATTGGGGTTGTGAACTGTGAGGACATTGGACCACTGGTCTGAGGGGAAAGAACACTGGACAATGTCACCATATCTTTGTAAAATACTTAGGGCATGTGAGGGTCTTGTTTGCACTGTCTTTCTGTCTGTGTACAAATGGTGTTACAAAATTGAAAATATTTGCATACTCTTATTTGTTTAAAATAGGGGAGTTCTCTCCTTCCTTCCTTCCTGTCTTCCTTGCTTCCTTCCTCTCTTCCTTCTTTCCTTCTTGTCTTCCTTCCTTCTTATCTTCCTTCCTTCCTGTTTGTATTTTTGTAGACAGGCCTTGCTCTATTGCCCAGGGAGTGGCACAATCATAGCTCACTGCAGCCTCAAACTCTCAGGCTCAAGTGATCCTCCTGTCTCAGCCTCCCAAGAAGCTGGGACAATAGATGTGTGCCTCTAAGCCTGGCTAATTTTTTAATTTTTTTGTAGAGATGGGGTCTTGTTACATTGCTCAGGCTGTTCTCAAACTCCTGGCCTCAAGCAGTTTTCCCACCTCAGCCTCCCAAAGAGTTGGGATTATAGCTGTGAGCCACCATACCTGTCCTCTCACTGCCTTTCTATGCTTCCAGTTTCTCTTTGCCGTTCACTGTTGACAAGAACCTCTACTTGATTTCTCACTGCCATTACCTTCATTGGCTCCCAGCAGTATACTAATCCATGTAGACTCTATTCAAGATTCATTGCTTTTATTCTGCATTTTTTCTTAATACAGGGTCTCAGGGTGAATACTGTCTAGACGAGAGGCTTACTTGT